ATTCATATATAACCCAGCATTTATTGAAAATAATCTATATTGGAATAGTAATACAAAATTCAAGTCAAAAACTATGAGAAATAGATGCTTTACAGATCTATAGATCTAACTATTGTTTCTAGAAAAGCCATTTAGAGATGCTTTTAATGGACTGGGCTTAACCCTTTTCCTACCTGCTGTTACTCAATTTCAAGTCATTCACAAAATTTCCTTTCAGCTATTAGTTTCCAAACCTTAAGCTGTGTATGGAAACCAGTAAAAAAAAAGTAATTTGGAGAAGCAATTTGAAATGAAGAATTGAAAGATATATTAAAAGCTATTTGCCAACAATACCACATTACTTTCTTATTCCAATCAGTTTTTCTTGGAAAAAGGATACGAATTAGCCAATTTTGATTTCTGTTGAAAATATTATTGTTAAATATCTTGGATCTTCTTTATATTTGAATTTAGTCAGTGTTTTGTCACAAAACATCAGTTACATTACTTCACTCAGTAGTATTTTTTGGCACTTCACCACAGAATCTGCAAGGTACTGAAGAGAAATTAAGAAGACGGATGGTCAAAATTTCAAATCTGTTTGAAAATCTCAATTACAGATATTTAATGTAGATGTACAGAAAGCTTTTCAGTTTTTTCTAGCACCTGAGAGAAAGCTGAGTAATGAATGGCCTTATCTTTGAATATTTTAGGATTGACAGCTAAATCATAAAAATAAAAAAGTGCTGACATTAATCTTGAGATATTTCATAATATTTTATTGTATAATCATATATTCTTTTATTATGTTTTGCTTTGTGCTTTTGAATCAGTGTTGACTCTACAGGGTTTTGGAAATGGCTTGCCCTTACCTCCTTCCTAGGGCTGAGAGAGAGTGATTAGCCCAAGGTCACCCAGCTAGCTTTGTGCCTAAGGGGAGACTAGAACTCACAGTCTTCCACTTTGCAATTTGCAGCCTAAATCCTATACCAAACTGGTTGACTTTTATTATGTGTAAGGTACGAAGATACAGATGGCTCTCAAAATACTCTTTATTGCATAATCAACAAGAGCAGGTCCTTTGCATGTGCCAGGCTACTTTGGCACTTTCAGAGGGATTTATCCATTTGCTCCTGTTGATGCCTGTCTTCTTACCCTTTGTTTATTATTAATAGACAGAATGGGAGGGAAAAAGGGAAAGTACAAAGTAGGGGAAAGCCTTCTTGCCAAATCCCTCAAGAGGAATATGAAAATAGCCACACATGCCTGAACACTAACTTGACAATTCAAATCATATGTTGCCAAAAGATAGACCAAGCATGAATGTTTGACTAAAAAAGAAATGAAAAGCTCTGAAAGATAAAAATTTCTTCTACCACACCGTGAAGCATATTAAACAAGGCCCATGTTGTTGTTGGAAATGAACCTCACACAGTGCTTAACTTTTCGGTGACCTTTCCCTGTGAACATCTTCTCAATTTGTTAATGCTAAAAATAACACAATTGTAGCTGTTGAGGATTACCTAACTATGAGAGGCAGTTGGGAAGGCACGCTTTAAAGATTCTATCCTCTGACGTGCATAAGAGCTGCACAATTCTTGAGAACAGCACCTGGCTAGCAAGCCTCCTTTTAAAGACAATGGTTATAAAAATAATGTGTCAACTAATCCAATATGCGAGCCAAAGGAAATATTTACTGAAGTCCATGGAGAATTATGAGCTGAGAAAAACCATAAATGCCACAGCAGGAAGCAATAATTTCTATATTACCATTCCACAAGGTCAGGCATCACGGGTACAGCCTAGTGTCAGTCATCGTGAAACAAAGGCACTGCCTATGTCATGAATGAGAAAAATGTTACTTCTAAGAATTCATACAATGTAGCAAAGCCTCAGATCTCCTTCATGACTTTTCAAAAATACAGAAGTATTTGAGCCTGGCCTTTTGTCCAAAGTAGACTTAGGCCTGCACTTCAAGTTTCATTAACTACAATGCTTCCAAAAATTTGACAGAGCAGTAAAACTTGCAAAGGCATGTTCTGTGGTCAGCTGGGCACATGACAACAGGTAGTCATCTCTCCTTCATGTGTCAAAGGATGTAGAAAATTCAAATACTTCCTTCTTATTGAGTGGCTTTCCTTGTATCTTCTTTCATCATCTGCTAAGCTCTGTATAAAATGAAGGCTGTGTCCTGAACAGAAGCAAGAAATCATTCCAAAACACGATTAAGTCTTCCTACTCCCCATTTTGGATCTGGTATCCCTTTCTTTATATTAAACGCTTTTTTATATTTCAATTGTTTTACTATCTGTTATTGATAAATTGCCAATAATTGTTTTATTTCCATCAATGTTGGTTGATTTATTTCTACTATTTGTCATAAAACTTCACCTTAAATGGTAAAGAGACATCCTTATTGTTATTGCCAAAGAACTCACAGAAAATTCTGCTGAAACTTTCATGCTTGAGTTTTACGAGCTGATAACCACTTATTATGTATACTTATTTGAAAAGGCTCCAACCAATAGGGCTGGAAATCAGAGAACGACAATGTCAGCAATTCTGTTCATGACCTTGAAGTGTATACCCATTTGGGGTTTTCAAGCAGTCCTGAAGAACCACATAAGCATTCTAAACTCACAGGATGCCTTTGTACAAGAGTATTAGCCAGGCTTCTGTCTTCACAATATATCAGTCATCAAGAATATTATGAGTTGAACCTAAGCAAGCTGAAATAGCAGCACAAACGGGAAGAGAAAAGAGTAGCCAATGTCACATCCTTGTTTGAATTAGTTCTCCTCAACCAAAATTAGCTACAACACAACACAATTTTTGTGTCCGTGGGATACAGGACTTAGTAGCTTTTGGAAAAGGAAGAACTGCAGTAGAAAACCATGAGAAAAGTGTTTTTCTGAAGAAAGTGAATTCAGCAACTGCAATTAACATTTGCAACTAGCCAAATATAACACATGTTGTGTTTTCCTATTTATTTATTTATTTATTTATTTTTAATGGCTGGGCCACTGGAAAGCATATGAACATATACGATGAACATGTGTGCATCATAATGAAATGTAGAAAAATGCACTTTTTAAGAAAATAAACATATTTCAAACATTTATAGGGAACAAAAGAAATCTAATTTTTGAAAATAAAGATGGATTTTTCTATATTAATTTTTTGAATGTCTTTATATCATAAAAAATGAGAAGCTGAAGGAATGTTTTTCTGTGTGTGTGTGTGTGTGTGTGCCGTATGTGTCTCTGCTGAATCCTGGAAAGTTTTGTTGGCAATATTTTCAGAAGTGGTTTGCCTCTGCCTCCTTCCTGCAGATGAGAATGAATGGCCCACAGTCACACAGCTGGCTTTGTGTCTAAGTCAGGATTAGAACTCATGATTTCCCTGTTTTTAACCTAGTGCCTTAACCACTTCACTAAACTGGCCCCCAATGTTTCTATATAGTATAGATGTAATAACATGTTAAAGTTTTGGGCTAGTTCATATTATACTGATCTCTCTTTCTTATTTAGCTTTAGTACAGTATAGTTCAGTATAATAATTATTATATATTAATTTCTCCTTTTTGATAAATTTTGTATTTCAATTTTAAAAGGAACATTTCCATATTTATTTTACTCTGCCATGGTAATCACATTAGTGATATCTATGGTCAATAATCATTCTCAGCTATTAATGTTCATGTTTTCAAACACTGTAGGAAGAAATAAATATTAGTATAAATGTAAAAAGAGCTGTATAAAAAAGTGCTTTGAGGCTAAGCTGTATCGAATAAAAGAAATTGTATTTATAAAGAATTGACCATATTACTAAAGGCTGTGTAGAAAAACATATATTGGGTAGTTGGATAGGAAAAAGTATCATTTTTAGTATCTAAAAATAGCTGACAATATGTATTGAAAAACAGGTAAATGGTGCTTTTCTGTATTTTTGTCAAAATTGGAATGAGATGGAATAATCTGTAAGAACATATGACACACAAATGGGCTAGGTTTTTATGGATTACACATCTCTAGTTCAATTTATAGTTCTCCTTAGGTCCAGAAGCATTTTTTCTGATTCTCAGACAATAAATTGTTGATAAGTAGATCTTCTGCCAAAGGTGGCAGAAGGAACCAATAATCACCTCCAAGATTACACAAGGAACATAAATTCCTCAGATTTCTCTGTTTGGAAATGTAATAAAAGAGGTGCTGTTATAAAATGTAGCCAACCACTCCTTTCTACAAAATTGGAAAATGAGACAACTCCTAATCCAGAGACTCAGATATGTGCACTAAAGTCCTCAGTGGAGAAATTAATAATGCAAAACATATAGCTCACAGTTACAAAAATTACCACCTCTTGATCTTTAGTAAGACCTTTCACTAGAAGTATTCAATGAAACTAGGCAAAGAAGAGACTTTTAGCAGGAAGTCATCAGATCTGCTCCCATGTAACTGCTATTGTGATATATGAGCCTGCTTAATGGATTTCTCTCATCAGTTAAGTGGAACACTGTAGTGCTTGGTAGGTGACACACACTAAAAACTGCTGAGTCCAATGAATCCTTGGCATTTCTTGATCCAGCATGAACGTGTACCAAGAAACCAGAATCCCAATCTCTCATCCCTAGGAGAAGACTCTTGAGCATGTTTCTATCTGGTTCATTTGTCAGGATTTTCTATTTTTATACATTACCAGATTTAAAAGAATCTAATTAGGAGGTCATAGAACAGTAATGGTGAACCTTTCAGAGACCAAGTGCCCAAAAACTGGCCCCACCCCTGCTCCACCCCCTGCCCCGTCCCCACCCCGCCTGCCCGCAGGGCCACTCACTGCCTCCAGGGCCTGCCACAGATCACCCAGGCAGCCCAACAGCGCCATTGCGGCCATGCCCTCTGCCCGTGCCGCACAACATCAACTCTGCACGATGGGGTCTGAGGGCAGAGTCTTGTCTACGCTGCCTGGCTGCCATGTACTTGATTGTGCTGCTCTGCATGGGCCATGCTCGGGGGTGACTCTCTTCCAGGGGGGCTGCTGTTGAGGAAGGGGTCGTGGGGGGAGGTGAGGCTGGGGCAACGGCATGCGTGCCCACAGAGAGGGCTCCAAGTGCCACCTCTGGCATGTGTGCCATAGGTTTGCCACCACTGTCATAGAATGAGAGATCTCTAATCCCTACCTCCAAATTGGTGACCTATGCTTTTTGTGTGAAAATGATTATAAAATACCAATAAATTGATCCAAACCTGCAGCATAAGAAAACCCATATATCATTTGAGGTTCCTTCCTGTTTGGCAAAAACAGGCCTCATATTTGGAATGCTTGAAGTTCTTTTAAAAAAAATGAATAAGAAAAAAAAAAGGAAGAAAGCTATGCAGGCGCACATAGACACAGTTTTTTTTCTATGCAATGAAATCCTGTCAGCACAGTTAATCCCTAGGGAAATCAAAAGTATAAGCTCCAGAACAGCAACAAGTGAATGGTCAAAACCATGTAATCAAGATGAAGGCCTCTTCATACTGAGATTACACACCCCATTGCCTCCAATCACAACCAAAGATGACAGGAACACAAATTTAGAATCATCTTATTTTGCAAGGTCTAACTACCCAACAAAAATGATAAACCGCTCCGGATTTTAAAAATCCACTTTGTCTCTGTACCTTGGATTTGAGATAGATTAAATAATTGAAAAGGCTAGGCTATTAGGTCATGATTTCTGTACTGCAGCTGTCCAGCACAAATTGACAGACACTCGGTAAATCCTGTTGATTGAATAAGAGGCAGGGAAAATCTCCATGCACAGCAAAGCACACTTGAAATGGAGAAAGGAGCATAATCGAATGGAAAAAAGAGACAGCACTTTATATGGATTTACTTAACTGGTCCTGTGGTAGTAAGAATAGTAATTTATGAATTAAGGCATCAATGGATACACAGAACCAGTCTAAACGGCAACGGCAGCTCAGACAGAAATACTGCTTCTCATAAAAATTGAATTGAACTTTCTGTAAACTCGACAAGTGAAGAACCATGAATGGTAAGACACGTTTTTATTTGGAACTATTGTGAAAAGATTCTGTTCAGCAAAAAACATTGTCTTAACCTCTTAGCAATCCATGATATTTCTTGAAGCAACTTGCTTCATTTGTACCTTAGCAAATAGTTGTAACCTAGACATACCGATACAGAATGCATCCTTTTCTCATATAACTTCAGAGTTCAGAAACACTAAGAAAATCTTTCGGTGAGCCATTCAAACTTTCTGAAATATATTTAATGAAGGAGCACAAGTTAATTTCAGAAAGTGAAGGACTTCATTTGAAGGTTAACATGTTTAGCTGTGAATATAGAGATTTCCAAGTATCTAGGTCCTGATACTATTAATTTAGATTCAGTGGCTTGCCCATCTTAGACTTATTAAATATTTTATTTCAAATTCAGTCCTTTGCATGTTTACTAACTGAAATGTTTCCCCAAATTCAGCAGAATTTACCTGATTTGTAATTGAAGCCCATAATTATTATAAGCATAAAAAAAGACATGAACCTTTAATAAGTTGGTGATAGGGAAAATATGGCCATACGAGTTTTAGCCACAGCTGCCTGTTTCACTATTGTACTGTACACATCTATAAAAGCAATGCTATAAAAGAAATACTATTATGAAAAGGAGGCTCCCTTAATTAGGTCATAATAAGATACTGTGTTTCTTTATCTGGTTTAAAAAAGAAAAAATACATTTTAGAAGGAAAATGGATAATATGCAAAGATGTAAAATATAATAATTGAAAGTATTTTTAAACATTTCATGTTTAATCCTCAGGGCTCAGTTCATTCAAATATATATATCTTTAGCACAAATAGCCTATCTGATTTCCTTTAGATCCTCTACAACTCTCATAAATTTCAGTTAGAATATTAAGAATTCAGAAATTGAAGTTATAATCCAAAAAATAGGGAAGATCAACTTACTTATTTCCTCTCCCCCACCAGTGTTTCAATATAACTTAACAATTTGAATAAATTCATTGAAATAAACATGGACATTCTGAAAACAGGAAAATACCAAAGTGTCTATGGAGATTCTGAGCCATCCAGGTCATCGTTGTCCCAAAGGTGTTTTTTTCATGAGGCAACTGGACTTCTTTTTTTCTCTTTCAAGATGTTTTGCTTCTCATCCAAGAAACTTCTTCAGCTCAGAGTGATGAGAAGTGAAACGTCTTCAAAGAGAAAAAAGAAGTCCAGTTGCCTCGTGAGAAAAGCACTTTTGGGAAAATGCCAAAGCTATTTTGTGTTCCCTAGATGGGGATAAACTGAGCCAGTTTGGTGTAGTGTTTAAAGGCACCAGGAGACTGCAAGTTCTAGTCCCATCTTAGATCCAAAGCCAGGCGGATAACCTTGAACCAATGACACACTGTCATCCTTAGGAAGAAGGCAAGGATAAATCACTTTTGAAAAACCTTTCCAAGAAAACTGCAGGAACTAGTCCAGGCATCATCAGAATCAAACATCAGTTTGAAGGCACACTCACAGAGATGGAGATGACAAAATAATCCTACAGATGATAAGACTAAAAGGAATAAGGTATTGTGTAGAAAATGAAAGCACTCGTATGATTAAGCTAAATTTGCTTAAATGCTTTTCATAATCCTATTGAGCACATGAAGGTGACTTTCAGGGTCTACACAATGCTAAGCAAAGTAGACTTTAAAATCCTTCAATCATTTTGACCTGAAGCTTTATTACAAGAAAAAGTATAGTTCTTGTATAATGAGTATTTTCTAGTTTTGTATATGTTATCAACATGATTGCTTTAATCAAGTGATTTTCTTCACATGTATTTTTATCCAGATGTAAATATCCTAAAAGTTAATTACACTTTTTGATAAAGAATGAAAAGTAATTATGTTTAAATTCTTAATCTTATCTAAAAGAAAATTCATATTCAGCTTTCTATTTAGATGTACAACCCCAGATTCCTAGAAAACTCTATTAAGTGTTGCGACAATAAGCTAAATGTGCCATTAACAGTTATTTTCTTATTTTTAGGTTCATTTCTTTTTGTTTCAAGTATTATCATACTGGTAGATGTGGTGACCGACTGTCCCCTCAAATGTCTGTGTCATCCAAATTCAAGGACAGTGGATTGCAGAAATCAAGGACTTGCCGAAGTTCCTTCCCATTTACCTGCTGAAACTCAAATATTACTTTTGTCAAACAATGGCATTCAGAAACTCAGTCAAAGGACTTTTAGGGGCACAAAGAGTCTCAAAATCCTGGACTTATCGAACAATTCTATTTCAGGTTTATTACCTGAAACATTTGGAGGACTAGTACATTTGCAGATTCTAAATCTAACCAATAATGTCATTGGATATATAGATAATAAGACCTTTAGCTCTCTACCCCACTTAAGAGCACTGGATTTATCATCAAACAATATATCAAAGCTTCCTAGAACTTTAGGAAACAAGACAGAGAACATTACTTTATTGTCTCTGAAATATAATCATCTTCACGAAGTTGACAGACTTCTGTTAGAATCACTTCCAAATCTGAAAATGATTCTTTTCAAGGGTAATTTCTGGCAATGTAATTGTCAAGTCTTTGGGCTTAAATTATGGCTGGAAACCTTTCTGTACAATGGTGAGACTTTTTTCTCATAGTACATATATTGTATGTTATGTCCAGCAACATTAGCTTCACTTAATGGTATTTCAAGGAAAGATCTAAACATGCAAAGTTGTTTTTTTCTAATGGTTGTGGGCACTTTTGATTTCCTGATTTACATAGCATCTGCACATTCTGCCCTGGGTGCAAACCTTATAGCAGGGCTTTTCAATCAGTGGTACGGGTACCACCTGTGGTACATTGGCACCTGGCAGGTGATATGTGACCATCCTAGAAAAGTGGTAGTGGGGGAGGGGAGTGAGCTGAACTGCACAGCACAAGCCTGAGCAAGAGATGGCTGGAGCTGCAGGGCTCAGTGGAAGCACCAGAATCAATGCCACTTTTCAGCTGATCGGCGCTTCTTCGGGAGTGTCATAGCTCAGTGGAAGCGCCAGGATCAGTGCCAGGATCCAGCTGGAGCTTGGCGCTGATCCTGGTGCTTCTGCTGAGCCCTGAAGAAGCACCAATCAGCTGGAATTTGCAGCATCTCCAGGGTCTTGTGATTTACATTCAGATGCTTGGCCACTGATTCATATTTATGATGGTCACAGTGTCCCAGGGTCATGTGAAGTGACCAAAACCTGCTGCAACCACCCAGCAGGCGGGGGGAATAAAAACCAAAACCCCCCACCCCATCCCTGCTGCCAATCCTCAACAGAAATGCTCACAACAATGAAAACCTAGGACAGGAGGAAGAACGCCAGTGGGCGGGCAGGCAAGTGTCTTGCTCGGCTGTGGCTTGGGGGGGCACTTTTTTCAGTGCCATTGTAACTTCGAACAGTCACTAGGCGAACTGTTGTAAGTCGAGGACTACCTGTACTTCATAACTATTTTTTTGGGGGGGGTCATCAAGTTTTTGACGCCTTGATGGGCGACTGGTGGTACTCGGATATTGCCATATCCTAAAAGTGGTACAATGGGTGGAAAGGTTGAAAAGCCCTGCCTTATAGAATCTGCAGATTACAGTTGTGAAATTATCCTTCTTATCTTTTTCTACCACTTTCTCTTATTGGTATCATTATTATGATTATATTACTTTTGTTGTTTGCATGTACACTCAGAGCTTATGCACCAGAGACAAATTCCTTGCTTGTATGTACACAGAGAGCGTATGCATCAGAGACAAATTCTTTGTGTCCAATCACAATTGGCCAATAAAGTATTCTATTCCATTCTACAGTTATAAACAGACAACCATGGGGGAGGGGGACATATAGCCAGCCACTGCATGTAACAATCCTAAGAGTAAAAATGAGGACCCTTTTCTGAATTTGTGATTGTTATAAATGTTGGGAGAATTAAAACCCATCTTTTAAGTCCTATAGGAGTTTTTTAAAAATTGCTCCTCTTAAAACTTTTAAAGCCTCCTTCACAAAATATCAAGAGGGCCTTTGCACAAATACATCTTGTGTGCTAATTGTGCCCATTTCTAGATCAGAAGACACTGCTCATATTAATGTATGCCTTATTCATCTCCTGAATGGACTATTGCAATGTATTGTACAAGGGGCTGCCTTTGAAAAACATTTGGAAGCTTTATCAATGCAGTGGCATGGGCATGATGTCATGTTCATGAAACATTACACTGGCTCCCAGTGGGCTTCCCAGTTGCAATTCAAGATGCCGGTTGTTACATTTAAATCCCTGCATGGCATGGGGCTAGGTTACTTGTAGAACCACATCTCCCTGATGATTCCTGCCTGAGCCACAAGATCTGGCAGAGTAGATATAATCCTGTCACCTTTGTGAGGGGGGTTCTGGTGAATTCTAAGTAGTGGGTCTTCTCTGTCATGGAACAGCTTCTGACAGAAACCTGAACAGCTCTGACGTTATCAGGCTTTGAGAAGGCTATGAACACCTGGGTTATCCCCAGACATAGTTAATTTCTGGAGCTCTCACGTGGATGTATGGAATATAGATAGTCCTTGACTTAAAACTACAATTCAGAGTGGACTATCAGCTGATATGTGAATTGGTATTTAAACCAGACGCTATGTGACTGCTCATTGAGCTCAATCAATGAGTGAGAGAGAGAGAGAGTGACTGGCCCTAAATCACCCAGCCAGCTTTCAAGCCTGAGGTGGGACTAGAACTCAAGTCTCCTGGTTTCTAGGCCAACCCTTTAACCACTATATCAATGTAAATGAAATGGTGCTAACCCTTATGCTTCCTTGCTTTACACTGTACAGACTCTTTCCAAATTGCATTGAAATAACATTTTGGTTTTTCTTCTCTGATATTTGGTATTCTCTGGTTATGTTGATACAAAGTTAGAGAAAGGGAAGTGCATTAAATTTTGTTAACGCAGTTAAAAATGTTTATCTCTCTGAGATAAATTTAGGAAGCTATTAAGCAAACATAACAGTCAAGATGCATTTAATCATCCATTCATTAGGAATTTTCTGCATTCAAAATTTGGAATTTTGAGGCATTTCTCTTTTGGAAACCAATTCCAATACTTCCTAATAGAAATCCAGGATGGAAACAATATTTTAACCATACAGATATATAAATGGTATTGATTATAACCAAATGATTGGGAGAAACTTGGATGGACTGTAAAATTTATAATTTTACTTCCTGACTCTTTAGTTCTTCTTCCCAATTTAAGCTAAAGTAAAATTTCCTCTGCCATCTAAAATAATCCCTATGATTACTTTGTCTCCACCCCTGTAGAGACACACGTAATTCAAATGCTCATTTATTAATCTGACAGTCATAGGCAAATGTTTTGTCACCCTTCATCAAATTCTGCTCCAATCCTTCAGTGACCAGAAGCTGACGGGGCATCCAGTTTAACATGAAATATTTCTGCAAATGTGAATGCATATTAAATATTTTGGACATAGATCTGAAGGTATCAGTTTCGGAGGATAGAAAAGTTGAAAACCAAATGACTATATTGAGTTAGAGTTCAGTACTTAAGAAAAAAATGACCACCTATAACTTGATGATGATGATGATCATCATCATCATCATCACCATCATCATCATAAAGTTGGAAGGGACCTTGGAGGTCATCTAGTCCAACCCCCTGCTCAGGCAGGAAACTCTATACCATTTCAGACAAATGGCTGTCCAGTCTCTTCTTAAAAACTTCCAGTGTTGGACCATTCACAGCTTCTGGAGGCAGGTTGTTCCACTGATTAATTGTTCTAACTGTCAGAAAAATTCTCCTTAGTTCTAGGTTGTTTCTCTTTTCAATCTGTTGCTTCTTGTCCTGCCTTCAGGTACTTTGGAGAATAGCTTGACTCCCTCTTCTTTGTGGCAACCCCTGAGATATGGGAACACTGCTATTATGTCACGCCTTGTCCTTCTCTTCATTAGACTAGACATTCCCAATTCCAGCAAACGTTCCTTATATGTTTTAGCTTCCAGTCTCCTGATCATCTTTGTTGCTCTTTGTACTCTTTCTAGAGTCTCAACATCTTTTTTACATTGTGGTGACCAAAACTAGATGCAGTATTCCAAGTGTGGCCTTACCAAGGCATTGTAAAGTGGTATTAACACTTCATGTGATTTTGATTCTATCCCTCTGTTAATGCAGCCTAGCACTCTATTGGCCTTTTTGACAGCTGCAGCACACTGCTGGCTCATATTTAGGTGATTGTCAACTAGGACTCCGAGGTCCCTCTCACAGTTGCTACTATTGAGCAAGGTACCAGCTATACTATACTTGTGCATTTGGTTTTTCTTGCCTAAATGTAGACCCTTACCTGTGGCCAGAATTTCTCAGGAAGACAGGAGGCTTACAAATGTGATAGTACAGTAGGTTGAAAATGAAACAGATACAGATAATAAGATTTCAAGGAAAAATTCCCTGCGAATCATGGTCTGCTTGACAGTCACCATTTCTGCTCAGTAGACATTCTATATTAGCAGCCTGTAGGGATGATACAGTGAGGGGATCAAAAAAGTGAAGATGGCAGCTGTGATACATGCTATTGAAGCCCCATTGTTTGTTTATATGTGTTATGCATGACACATACAAGTGTGCATGTTTGCATGCATAGGGCAGGATTTTGATCACATTTTGTGTCTACCATCTTGACTTTTTGATCTCCCCTATGACAACCCAGGGATGCAGGGCAGCTGCATCAAAGGGCTTTCATGATTTTGCTCATGGAATTATGTAATATCTCATGAAATATTACAAGATTTTGAATATTGTTTATAAAAATAATTCAGGAAGACTATTGTTACATTTATGGCATTGATGTTCTCATTGATGGTGCCACATTGCTGACCATGGGTTTGTGTGAATGTGTAATAGTGTGAATCCAGCTATAATATATGATGAATTGGACTTTGGTTACTTTAGCTTACGTTTTTTTATTACAAATTATAATGGAATACCATTGAACAGTTGATTAATTGTTTTTTAAAAATGTCTCTCCTTTTCACAACACATACTTCTAATAGCCAATGTAGGAGAAATATTAATGTCTACCTTAGTTTAGCCAATCACTAGTTTCAAAATTTTCTGAAGTACCAAGAGTTAATATATATCTTTTATTTCCAACAGGAGGAATTAGCGATGAAATTGTCTGCTCAACCCCTGAAAATCGGAAAGGAAAAGACCTGCTGAAAATTCCCTACGAGTTGTATGGGACCTGTTTTCCTACAGCTTCTCATGGTCATCAAGTCTACTGGCATCACAGTTCTAAGCCTAAAGGTTCTGCAAAGCACACCCTTCCCAGTGAACATGGAGGAAACAGCACCCACGCAAACTGTGAACGTAAATCAAAGCCACGGCCGGTTAACTTGCGTCATTCAGTTGTCACTGTGGCTATAACTGGTGTTGTCTGTGGGATCATATGCCTCATGATGTTGGCTGCTGCAGTATATGGCTGTGCCTATGCAGTAATTACAGCAAAATATCACCAGGAAAATTCATATCCTGGCAAGGAGAAGGGGAGCCATGAAGAAAAAGAGCCATTTGAGAATTCCTTGGCTTGAGTTTCTGATGGCTCTGAACTGCCTAAAGGAAATTCTTTGGTTAGTTGTGGTTCCACTTTCTCTAGAAACAAGAAGAGTATTGAAATAGGTTTAATATATCCTGAGGATTGATTTCCTTGGTACAGGAATATTCTTCAGCATATAAATATTGTAATATGTGATGTTTTATATTTACCTGGTTCATGGGTATAATTTAATCCTGTTTATATATGGTAGGGTTGTAAACATTGACCAACAATTGGAGCAACGTATATGCCTAGCAAAATAAATGAGCAAATTTACCCTGGCTTGATTCAAGCCTCCCTTCCATATTCCAGAGTTTTTTCATATTCCAGAGTGTTTTCACATAAACCTATTCTCAAAAAAAATCTTTTGAAATGGGAAGAAAATGGACTATGCTAGCACATTCCTGGATAAACTATATATTATATAAAAATGGGGTTAACAGATAGATAGCAATAGAGACAGAAATATTAGACATTCTCTCCCTCCCTATGAATGGTCTTTAAATATTTTGTTCTTGACCACTAAAAAAAATCCTTTTAAACGGAAAGATGAAAACCTCTCTGTTCCTTTCAATTGCTTTTCAAAAGCCTTTCAGAAATCAGTGTGAAAAGAGTTTGAGGTTCTGCTTGAGGTCTTCCACCAAACTTTTAGTTTAATCCCCAAATCACAGCCTAGAAAAGAAACATGCTAATAACCATAAATGAATTCCAAAATAAAAACTCAATGTAGATTATTGTAAATACACTGTACAACAAATACAACTCTGATAGATAACAAGAGTAGAAATATCATAAGGAATTTGCCTAAGGAATATGTGATGGATTAAATAGGTTTATTTATTTGCATTTTTATTTATTTCCTCTAAGAAACTTTAAACTTTTCAATCCTAAAATTTACTTTAATCACTATATCTTGCTAGCCTTTACAATTCTAGTTTATGTATAATTGAAAAAAATATTATATGGGGGATTTGAATTAATAACTTATGTTATTGTTGTTGCTCTGTGATAATTACATTTTATTACAGTACAGATTTTGTTCATACTATTGTTAATTGGGTATTATAAAATGGAACATTCAGCCTGTACATTTTATAATAAATAAATTATTTTGCAAGAATATTTACTAATATTTCAATCTTCTAATGTCAACAATAACATTAATAAATGAAAAGCTATTATGCTGCAGCATGAGATACTTAATGCTTCAATGGAGAAAGTGACTTTGAAAGCTGAAACTAGTTGTGAATTCTGTGAGCATCACAAATTATTTTTTACTGCTAAACATTCTGGCCAATTTGCCAGTTCTTACTTCCAATTGCAATACTGGGGGCGGGCCAGATAAACTGTAGGGCAGAAGAAAGCAGCTGTGCTATTACCACTACAATCCTTTCCCAGGAGCAATTAGAAAATGGTTCCTTCCCAGTTTCTAACAGGATAAATCATTATGAGAGATCACTTGCATGCCTCTGTGTACAAAAGACAATGACAGCAATGTTGGAAAGACTATGGGCATTCATAGTTAGTTGTACCAATGCATCCTGGAAAATGCATTTGTTGATTCATTTAATCACTAATTGGCCATAGAAATAAATATCTCCTCGTACTATTCCAGAAAGCTTCATAAGGAAAAAGGTATCTGATTCCCCCCCCCCCCCAAAAAAAATTTCAGCCTCTTGGGATGAAAACTCAAGAATTGAATCCAGACTGTGATGGAAAATTCAGGATCAATCTTTACTGCTGTTAGAAATAGAATTGAGATGGGGAGATATTGTTAGGTAACTTTGCACAATTCTATTTTCAAAAAAGGGCATTTTACAAAGTCTCTTATCAATGATTAATCAATAAATGTAGCACCCACTGGGATTTTAGCTGTAATTTTAGATGCATTGTACTCTAGCAGACTATACCAGTTTCAAAGAACAAGACAGACAGTTCTAAGTCACGAAGACTGTAATGAAAACACCTGTTGTTCTCCTAAGCCAGTTTATCTAATTATATGCTATTTTCCATTATGAAAGGAAAGTGTTTGATGACATTCAGACCAGATAATCAGATGATCTCACAGGGAAATAGATACATGGAACATCTATTAATATACTCAACTGGCTCTCCTGTTCTTTAAAAGATCTCACTGTAACTAAATATACTGTTACTTTTGTTCTCCCTGAAAGGTATATTAAGTGCATCACTGTTAGTTAAAATCTACATACATACTTTTAAAAGTTGGTGCAACTATGCTAGCTTGCTAGCTTGTAAATAAATAGTAATTATTGCTCAGTAAAGGGAAAATTTTTGCATGCAACTTTTCAGGCTGAGGTTCAGTTTTTCATGAACAACCAGAGCCAGTTTTTGTGTCTTGTACAAACTGTGGCTATTTGTTTTGAATGTCAAAAAAATAATCTGTGTTATGAGAGTAAGACAATTAGACCACTAAGCTTGATTTCCCTCTTTAACCAAGTTTCATTGCACCAATGAAACGGAAAAACTCTAAAAGACAAAATAGGTCGAACAAAGCTATTTTGAGAACTCAAATAAATTTGGAAAAATCTTGGTATATCAAATTAAAAAAGGAAGGGAGGGAGTAATAACAACTGAAAAACAACAAACTGTTTAAATCTATATGTATGAGTGTGTGTGTATAATATGTATAGCTGCCCAGAATCTTTTGTTTTGAGATAGGAGGCAAATAAATTCAATAAAACAAACAAACAAACTAATAAATAAATAAAGAAATGTATACCAATACAGGTAGGTAGGTAGGTAAGATAGATAGATAGATAGATAGATAGATAGATAGATAGATAGATAGATAGATAGATAGATAGATAGATAGATAGATAGATAGATAGATAGATAGATAGATAGATAGATAGATTCTTTCCAATGTTTTCCCCCAAGTGCAGGTTCCACTTATTTTGGATCAACCAAGTGTCTATTCTAAATATAAAATAGACAAAGAATTCTTGAAAACATACATTGAAGACATAGAATTAAAAAAAAAAATATTCAAGAACACAGGCAAACACTAAGCAAACCCATTACAATTCAGGAGATCAAAGAAGCAATAACAAATATCAAAACTGAAAAAGTGCCAGGTCCAGATGGGCTGACAACACAATTCCAAAAAAAGATGGAGGAAGAACTGGTGGAACTGCTCCTGGGTAGGTTGAATGAAATCCAAGTAACAAAAACAATACCAAAGGCAGGGGGAAGAAGTATACAGTATACCATAAGTTTAATAACACAAATAAGTGAATTGTCCAAAGAAAATCATGCAGACCAATTTCTTTACTGATGTCGATTATAAGGCATTACTACAATATTAGCTGAATGCATGAGGAAGTACATTTCTAAAATCATACATAAAGGTGAAACAGGTTGCATTCTAAAAAGAAAGATAAAAGACAAGAACAGGGTTTACAAAATAAAGGCATTTAGGACAGATCAATGATTTTTAAAAAGAAGGTGGGTAGTAATACTTTTAGACAGAAAAAGCATCTGTCAATTTGGAATAGATTTTTCTATTGAAGGGCTTAAATAAAATGAACCTAGGGAGAGAGTTCAAAACTTGAATGGAGAGAATATATCAATGACAACTACAAATATCATATTGAGTAATACATTTTCTGCAAGCTTCTTAATATGTAAAAACAAGAGAAAGTTGTCTGCTTTCTCACTTACTATTATAGTTGCTTTGGAAGTCATGGTAGATGAGATGCAAAAATAGAAATAAATAAATAAATAACAAATTGAAATGTTATATAGATGTCAGCCTTGCCAGATGACCAGACAGGAAACATAATCAGATCAGCTAATTCTACTTTACTGTAAAACTATATTAACAGAATTTTGTAAGTCAGAAAGAATAAATCTCCTGCTCTTTTCTTAATAGCTTGAGAAGCTAGGCAGAGTCTCTTCTGAGTTTTTTTCTCTGCCATTACGATGCTTCAGGATATTCCCTCTCTTATCAAAGGTTCCCTAGGCAGAATTTCTTCCCTGTCTCTTAAGGTCTTTCATACAAATCATTGCAGTAGATAATGTAATACTAACAATTACGCATCCACCAAGCCCTGTAAGGCAGTTAATAAAATACTTAACGGTTTTGGCTTTCCTAATGAAAAAAAAGCAAAGATAATAGCAAAGGCACTTAATTACTGGAGAAAGTGACTTGATTAAAAAAGAAAAACTGGCTGTGAGATTTCCAAGAGCCATGAAATACTTAGTGTTATTTGATAAAAGGAAATAAAGATATATTTTAAAACAATTACAGCAATTTATGGAAAGAAATAAAACAATATCTCAAAAATGGAAGACTTTAAAACTCTTTTTACTGGGACTTACTGCAATAATAAAAATGAATACACTAATCATGATGTGCATTTTACTTTAAATGGCACCACAAAGAACGGCTACAGTACTTGGGTTGGCTAATCTAAAGAAAAGAAGAAATAGGGGAGACATGATAGCAGTATTCCAGTATTTGAGGGGCTGCCACAAAGAAGAGAGGGTCACGTTATTCACCAAAGCACCAGAGGGCAAGACAAGAAACAATGGTTGGAAAGTGATCAAAGAGAGAAACAACCTGAAACTAAGGAGAAACTTCCTGACTGAGGACAATTGGAAGTGGAACAGCTTGCCTCCAGAAATCATGGATGCTCCATCACTGGAGATTTTTAAAATGAGGCTAGACAGTCACTTATCTGAGATGGTATAGGTCCTGCTGCTTGAGCAGGGGGATGGACTAGAAGACCTCCAAGGTCCCTTCCAGCTCTATTCTATTCACTTTCCCTCTCAAACCAAACCTTGTAAATTGGCACAAGACAATTAATAGCAAGAATGGGGTGAAATGAGAATAAGATTTACAAGATTCAAAAGAAAGGGGTATATGGTATATGTTCTTCCTAATCTTAAACAATATTATTAAGCAAATTGTGTGTTATGGATAATGGAATGGATTAAATTTTTAATAAAACATAAATCAAAGAAAAAACTGATTTTGATAATGGACTCATAGGTTTTTATGGTGTCAAGAACGAAAAGAACAAAAGATTTTGAAGGGACATATTATAAGATAAGAGAGCCAATCTGATGTAGTGGTTAAGATGACTGTAAATGCTAGTCCCACCTTAGACACCAAGCTGGCTGGCCACTTTGAAGTAGTCAATTTCTCTCAGCCCTAGGAAAGAGATATGAGCCAAGAAAACTGCAGGGACTTTACCAAGCAGTCTCCAATCTTAACCCGAATGAATGGAAAAAAAAAAAATATCAGATAAAGTTTGTTAATCTAATTTCACTGGATTCCAAGTTTTTAAGATCAGAAATTTTATCATTAGCATCCCTGTCAAATGCTTTTTACTTTAAGGATAAATTATTGCAAGAAGTATTTAATCAAATATGTCAGTATGGTACATTTAGATCCAAAAACAGGATAAATAAATAAGATCTGCCCAATGAAGAGAGGAACTTACTATAGTTAAGCACATGCAAGTTACTGGAAAAATAAAAACTGATCTTAAGAAAGGCTGTCCTTGAAAAAGCTGACAGAATTTGAAACATTAAAAAAGCAAGATTATTTATTGGGGTGCATCTATAAATTGTTATTGAAATATGATAAAGAAGCAGAACAAATTAAAAACTACATGATAAAATGACTGCAACATTTCAAAGAAAGAATTTTAATGGAACAATAGGAATAGCTATGGGGAAAAAAAATCAGAAAATTCATCCTAAGCTACAATATGAGGGAAAATTGGTACAAGATGTTTTATAGATAGTATATAATTCTTTCAATGATTACCAGGCTGGACAAGTCATAAAATAACAGATGCTGGAAATGCTGTTTTATCATATGTGGTGTTCTTGTAAAGAAACCTAAAACTATTGGAAGGAAATGCATTTTTTAAAAAAAATAAATTAAAATAAATTTGAATTGAAACCACAAAGATTATTATTAGGAATAATTCCATAGTATAAAAAGAAGTACCATAATTTACTAAGATACATGCTGATAGTAGCAAGAACCAATTTGGCACAATATTGTAAAAGTGAAACCTTGTCGACAACTCCAGAATGGGAATCTAAAATTGGAGAATATGAAGCAGTATAACAGAAGTTTAACTAAATTCAAGCAGTAATGGCTCCCTTGCATTTGCCACATTACAAAGCAAAGCAAATTCAGATATTTAAAAGACAACTTCTAAAAAAAGAGCTATGCATACCTCTCTCTATGTGCATAGCTAAATCAATTACACTGATTTAAGCATCTCACTTTAATGGACAAATAATACACTAAAAAAGTATAGTTCCTTTTTATAGCACTGGTCATCATTTTGCATGCCAACTGCATACACTGCAAAGTTTATATTACATCAGCTAATATGGGAAGTCATCCAACAGTTTGGAATGAAATATTATCAATGTAGTTCCACCTTGGAGGAGCTGTGGTGGAAATCCTGGCCTGGTTCATGGAGACTGTCAGGTCTACATGGGGAGAAACAGTTCAAGCCATAGGAGAGGATGGCCATTAATTTAGAAGACTGATAATTCTGGGACTTTTGATAATGGTGGTCTCCTGAAAAAAAGCAAGGTATGGGGCCTCCTGGACATACATCTTCTCTTGGAAGAACAGGTAAAAGCTATGGTCAGGAGATCCATTATCCAGTTTTGGCTAACGTGCCAGTTGTGGATAGGAATGTGATGTGAGGATGATCACATATTCATTTATTTCTCTCATATAGAATCGTATAATTCAGTTTACATGAGGCTGCCCTTGAAGACTATGTGGGTCCTCAGCTGGTATAAAATGCAGTAGGCCATATGCTCACTGAAAAATTCAATATACTCCACTGCAAAGGAGTTGCATTGACTACTGCTTTGTCTCCAACTGCAATTCAAGGTGGTGGTTTACATCTATAAGAGCAACAAAGATGATTAGGGGACTGGAGGCTAAAGCATATAAGGAACAGCTGCTGGAATTGGGTATGTCTAGTTTAATGAAGAGAAGGACAAGGGGGGACAACCTAGAACTAAGGAGAAACTTCCTGACAGTTAGAACAGTTAACCAGTGGAACAACCTGCCTCTAGAAGCGGTGAATGCTCCAACACTGGAAGTTTTTAAGAAGAGACTGGACAGCCATTTGTCTGAAATGGTATAGGGTTTCCTGCCTGAGCAGGGGGTTGGACAAGATGACCTCCAAGGTACCTTCCAACTTTATTATTATTATTATTATAGATCATCGCACAGTCAGCCAGATGTTCAGACTGGATTTGGCATTTTGTCTACCTATCAAGTCCTTACCCAAGACCTGGGATAGGCAGATGTGGATGTTTGATGGTATTACAGATATCGTCGCAGGATGGAAGCAGTTCCTAATAAGGCCGCCTTTTGCAATTGACTAATAGCGAATTTGTCAATGCCAATGGTGTTCAAGTGGTGCTCCAGTTGTTTTGGGATTGCACCAAGGAGCCTATGACTATTGGTACTACCCTTGCTTGCTTTTGCCACAGTCTTTCTATTTCTATTTGTAGGTCTTTGTATTTTGTTATCTTCTCCAGTTCTTTCTCTTCTATTCTGCTATCTCCAGGCACTGCCACCTCCACTATCCAGACTTTTTTGTCTTTCTTATCGACAATGGTTAAGTCTGGGGTGTTATGTTGCAGGTGCTTGTCTGTTTGAATTCTGAAGTCCCAGAGAAGTTTAATTTTATCATTTTCTATGACTTTCTCTATTTTATGGTCCCACCAGTTTTTGCTTACAGGCAAATGATATTTTTTGCAGATCTTCCAATGCACCATTGTTGCTACTTTGACATGCCGCTGCTTGTAGTCAGTCTGTGCAATCTTCTTGCAACAGCTTACCAGATGGTCCACTGTTTCTTCAGCTTCTTTGCATAGGCGGCACTTACTGTCTGTTGCTGTATTCTCAATTTTGACTTTGTATGCATTTGTCCTTAAAGCTTGGTCTTGTGCAGCCAGAATTAATCCCTCGGTCTCTTTCTTCAATTTTCCTGCTCTTAGCCATTGCCAGGTCTTATTATTATCTGCTTTCCCAGCTATTTTTTTAATGTATTGGCCATGTAGTGCTTTGTCTTCCCATGCCTCTATTCTGTTCTTCATTTGGTCTTTCTTGTAGGCCAGTTTGGTCTCTCCAGTAGTCAGTAAGCCTCCCTGTGCATCTTCATCATTGTTTTTCAGTGCATCTTTATCATTGTTCTTCAGATATTCTTCCAAAGCCATTTTTTCTTCTTCAACCATCTGATGTACTTGTAGCATTCCACGCCCACCTATTTGGTAGATACAGTCTGTCAATGTCACTGCGTGGATGAAGGGCATGATTCATTGTCATTATTTTTCTGGTCTTCCTCTCCATTGCTTTTAGTTATGCTTGAGTCCAGTCCACTATTCCAGCTGTGTACCTAATGACTGGAATTGCCCAGGTGTTGATTGCCTTTATAGTATTTCCGCCATTGAGTTTGGACTTTAAGATCTTCTTCATTCTCTTGATGAATTCACCTCTAATCTTTTTTTTTTTTTTACTTCAGTGTGCTTGATGTTGTCAGCTTGAAGGATACCCAAGTATTTGTAGTAATCTTCCTCATCCAGACTCTTAATGTTATTTTCGTGGGGCATCTTGATTCCTTCAGTTTTCACTACTTTTCCTTGTTTGATAGTAATAATAATAATAATTATTATTATTGTTGTTGTTGTTGTTGTTATTATTATTATTATTATTATTATCTAGATAATTTGGACCTGGGTATCTGCAAGACTGCCTTTTGGCCACCAACCCAGGTGAGCAGAGAATGCCTCTTCCGCCGATGATTGATAGATAGATAGATAGATAGATAGATAGATAGATAGATAGATAGATAGATAGATAGATAGATAACCTTTATTGTCATTTTTTACTGTGGGCACATTGGCACACATTAAACATTAAATTTCATTGCTTGCTCTCAAAAGTGTACACATAAATAACACAAATTTAACCAGGCTATATGCAACATACGTATAAACCTACACTCTTACATACAAATAACATATAAATATTAATCACTGTCCATCCTGATAGTGAGGAAGGAGGAGAAGAGGTAGCACAACTGAAGGCCTTCTCTGTGGAAGTCCCCCTCTTTTGGAATAACTTGCTGCTATGATGAGAGTGACTTTTTTTCTCATGTCTGCCCAAGATATGTTAAAACCTGGCATTTCTAGAAGACCCGTGGAAAAGGAACGATTTGTGGAAGACACCAAAACAGACGAACGTAATAAAGTTATTAATTTTTCTTTCATTGTATTAATATTCTATTACTATTATCCTTATATTCAATCTAAAAATAGTCTATAAATAGATTTAACTGACTCTAATTGTATCTGACTCTAGGGGGCAGTGCTCATCTCCATTTCTTAGCCTAAGGAGCCAGATTTGTCTAGCGCATTTCTGTGGTTCATGTGGCCAGCATGACTATACGCCAAGGCACCTGGATGCTACTTTCCCATCATAATGGTACCTATTTATCTACTGATATTTACATGTTTTTGAACTGCTAGGTTGGCAGGAGTTGGGGCAAGTAACAGGAACTCACTCTTCACACGGTGTTCAGGTCTCAAACCCGGACTGTCAGCTTTCCAGCTGACTGTTCTGTCCCAGCCTACGTCAGTCCTTGTTATGCTCACAAGGAGAAACCCCTCTTCCAAGAAACAGGCAGGAACCACAAGAAAAAACAATCCCTTTTATTCTCACTGACCTGAGTCAATGTCCAAGGCAAACAAACACAGTCCACAGAAACTCGAACCTCAACATGAACGGTTGCCTTTGGCAACCAGCACTTCCCACACCTTCCCTTTTATAATTCAGCCAAGGCATGGCTTCCTAATGCCTTCTCCTTTGCCTTTGGAGCTGCCCCATTGCATTCCTCTGTCCTACTCGCTTTTCTTGCCTGCACTTTTGTGCATCCTGGATTTGTCCCAACTATTCTTCAGCCTGAGCACAAGTAGAGGGGCCAGGCTCCTCGTCTGACTGTAAGTTTTGGAGCTCCTCAGAGCCTTCCTCTGACTCTAATGTCACTCCAGGCCCCTCCTCCTCCTCTGATTCCTCAGACTCAGCTGCAGATCCATTGGCTGGCGAGGAATCACAACACTGACAAGCTCAGCATCTTTAACCATTGAACCACCACATGCCCCCAAATTTAAATAAACAATCTATCAATACTTTTAAAAAATTCAACAAATAAATGCTTTATTTATTTATTTATTTGTCCCACCTTTATTGTTGTTACATATAACTGAAGGTAGCAAACATATCCAACACACTTTCCTTCTCCTATTTGTCCCACAACAACAACAACAACTCCGTAAGGTGAATTGGGCTGAGAGAGAGAGAGACTGGCCCTAGGTTACCTAGCTGGCTTCATAAGGTAGGACTAGAACTCACAGTCTCCCACTTTCTAGTCTTAACCATTTAATCACAAATGAAGGTGAATAAATTTATTTAACATTTTATCTAGGAGAAAATAACTGATGTACCACAGAACTTCCCAGACCACTGTTTATTAATAATAACAATTATAATCAGGTTGGTTTCAACATATCAAAAGTCTTCTCTCTTCAAGGTGCTGAGGAGCAAATGTTTTAAAAAGACCTTCCAAATGTTAGGTTCCAAAAGTGTGAATTACTGAACTTTCTTCCAAAATAGTCTTTCAGGGAGAATTCCTATGAACTAAGAAATCCCATTTAAAGCATTGTTACTGTATATAAATGAAATTGTGCTTTTACCTGCTACCATAGGTGACTTTCGGTCATCCAATAGCTGTATGGCGGTGCTTGCTGTCACCACATTGCTCTTGTTTGCTGTTTCTGTAAATGGAAAAGAAATGGATATTCAGGTCCAAATTCTCCCTCTGTGTGGCAAGAGCCATAGCACCGACCCTAACAACAGAGGTTGACATGCTAAATCAGAGGGACACCATTTCTTTGAAATTGGGGCATGCTTTGCTATTAATTTGGAGGGGAATTTCTAAGATTTAAGTAAGGCTCAGATAGCTGGGGAAATTGATGGTTTTGCCCATTTTTAAACAGCACAACCTGCTAGTGACCTGGGAGCTAGACACAGGATACTGGTGAGAGATGCACATTACCTATGGTCTACCCAATTCTGGTACCTTGTATTATGATTGGATACATTACACTGGATATATGATATGTGGCTCCCTTTCTTTTCTTGTTTTATATTAAAGCATGGATGACCAACCTTTTAGTTTGTGTGGGTCACATTGAGTGAAGAGGAATTGTTTTGGGCCAGATATAAGATATATAATATAGTCAATGTACATATATCACATAATAATATTAAAAGTTTACGATCTTGTGAGGCTACTTTACTAGCTGTCCAGAGCTGCATGTGGCCCATGGGCAGCAGATTGGACATGCCTACATTAATTAGGTGATAATTTGGCACTTTTCTTTGTCTCCCAGCCATTGACCCTTTTGAAATTAGTTTCCCTTTGTAGGTATCAAGAGTTTTGGAGGAGGTTGAAAAAAAATGGGGGAGGGAGAGAAAAAGGAGGCCCAACCTTCCTATTCCATGAGAAAAGAGGGTTGCATAAAGGAAAGAAAAATTAGACCTACTCTCTCCAGATGCCAGTATAAAACCCATGAAAACCAAACAAGGATACAGAGGAATCGATGTATAACGTACATCAGGTAAAGTTTCTCTTTCTGCTTTAGATCTGATCATTTCTAAGGTCTACCATGACAAATAAAAACAGCCTTAAAGTAATTCTGTTTGCAACTTGTTATCCCTGATTGACCTTGGCTGATCTTGAACAAATAAGCAGGTTCGGGTTTAGTTGGATGGAAGGCCAAGGAAATGCAAAGGATGTAGGCTCGAGTAGTACATTGGAAAGGCACTCCTGAAAAAGGACTGTGGCAAACCATTTCTGTTGTGTTGCCAGTAAAGTTCTCCCTTGCAAATTGTCATTCCCTGTCATGTTTTGATATGCAAAGTAATATTATTTTTTTATAATATATTTTATTGATTTTTAACAATGCATAATTCACTCAATAATTAATAAACAGTGTGTTGTCTGGGTTACATTTGTAAAAACATTCCTTAACAATTGATTTCTATAATCTGTATTCCATATATTAATTTTAGTTGATTTCCTCTTTCCCCAAAACATCCTTTTTTGCAAACATTGAATTAATACAACTCTTATTGTTTTAATAAATAACAATTAAGTATGTATTTTTTTCCAATATTCCGAAAAAGTAATCATCATATTAGTATAATATTCCTTTTCTTTTCAGTCATTTGGGTTGCCTTATCATCAATACTGTTATAATCCTTATTTTAGTTTATTTCTCCCACCAAATTCTAAATATTCTTAATGGTGAAAATTTTCTCAGCGAATAATTATATTTACATTGACAGATTTAATTCTATTTTTTCCATATAAGCCATCCCACATTTTTACACTTCTTAAGACATAGATAAAAGAGTGAAAAGAGAGAAGAAGAAAAAAGAAAAACAGAGAAAAAAAAATAAAAAAGAAGGAAAGAAAGAAAGAGCAACAGAACATGAGAAATAACATACTACTTAGAATATATATCCCTCCTAGGTTAGTATGCATTAATTTCCTCAATTTCTTGTTCTTTTTAACCATAGTTAAGAATCTATTTAATCTTTAAACATTCCATTCAATAGGTCCAATCATCTAATCCCCATGCAAAGTGATATTAAGTCCCAAACCCAACCACATGATTTTGGTTTAAGAATTAGCAGCAGGATAAAGTGTGATTCCATAGCAAACCTGTACTGAATGGAATGGAGTAGACAAAATTTCCTGGAATCTGCTCAGCAGCTCTTCTATACCAAAGTGGGAAATGATCTGCATTAAAAATATTTTCCTTGTCTTCAGCTGTCAAGAAGTCTCTTGAAACAGAAGGAAATAAAAAAAATGCTCTTTTTCATTTGGTTTTTCACTTATCCTCTAACTTACCTACCTTTTTTAAAAAAAAATAACTACATTGTGTTCTATTCTTTTGTTTGTAGCTCAGAATTATTTTTGAATGACGTTATGGTTAGTTAGTTATAATTGATAGGTAATCATATAAATTGGCTACCTAAATAAATAAATCAGACATTGTAAAGCCTGGCTTATTTTCTCTCCAGGGTTAATAAGGTGGTGAACATCATTTTCCACATTCTGAGATTTGTAATCCCAGCAAAAAGACATTTGGGGAGTGTCTTTCTCATTTGCCACTTCCCTTTGTTCTGTTACAAGAAATGTGAATAAAAGGAAAATAAAGGCAGAAGCATTGGAGGGGAATCCTGTCTTGAATCAATAACCAGTTAAAGTACAGACAAACAGAGCAGGAAAAAACAAGAGGCATTTTGTTGGTTGGTTGGACTTTTTGCAATTTTAAGTAGCCACTAGGCAGTTGCCAGAAACAAAACTTTAGTGAGAGGGAAAGCGGAAGGAAGGAGAACAAGAGAGAGAAAATGTATGGTAATGTCCACTATGTGTTTTTTTCCAGTATATCCAGTGCCACCAGGGATCAAATCCCCCTTCTTCTGCCTGTGGATTCTCTGGAGCAGATTTGGGTGGCACCACGTCACTTTTAGGCTGAGGAATATTACAAAACCTGATTTGCTCCAGCAGAAGCCAATGAAATTGGATTTAATTTATCCTCTGTAGATAAGCTGCATGTGTGCTATTTCAATAAGGAAAATGCCAGGTGGACTTAATGTTCCAGTCCTGAGTATCCAGGATTTGGATATAAAATATTTTGAAATAAAAATCCCACAGTTGTTTTTTAAGTGCACAAATGTGATATATATCCTGGCAATGCATTTTGCTTCCTTATTTGCCAAAGACTTTGAGCAGAAAAAAAAAAAAGAAAATGAGCTGAAGAATATGTCTGATATCAGAATCAAACATACACATGGAAGAAGATTTACAATGTGGTAAATTTCATGGCATTTCTAGTTATTCTAAAAACAAAGCAATTTGGTTTGCTATGTTCTGAAAGATGAAATCTGAATACAGGAACATAGCTCCAGGGTGACTCCCCTCCTTCCCATTACGAATCTCTTGAAATTCATGTGAACTATTATTTAGTTTCCAAAGAATTGCAAAAGACAGCTAGCCCACCTAACTTGCAATTTATTTAACCCCCTGATTTTTTTTCCTGATATCACCACTAGATGGAGAGAAAAGGTTGAGCGTCTTCCTATAGCAAGTATCCTTCCTCTTCTCAGTACAGTATAGATACTATATCTAGTTTAGTACTTACTGATTAGTTAGTTGTTCTGGCCCAACAAAAAGATTGATCCGAGAAAGGCCCGTCCGAGTTCCAAGGAAAGCAACTTCTACACCCTTGTCTGAATTTCTGAAAAGCAGAAACAGTATGAAAGCACCCTATTTCTGCAAAGTAAAATAGTTTATTGCCTATTTCAAGGTCACAAAACATATGTAGAAACCAGGACTGCAACTGTAATCAGTTTACCAAATTCAATAATCAACTTAAGCTTTTAATGAAAATTTAAACATGCCCCCAATGTCCAAATGAAGGCATGACTGAAATGTATCATTCCTGAATGAAGGGGTGAAGTTTCCAATGTTGGGGCAGTAAAAATCTCAGAGTAGCATAGGGAGAAAAAAAAAGGATCCACGTGTAATCCACTTATGGATTACAAATCCAGATCACCAGATCACACACATACAAACAAAAACCTTTATTGAGATGACAGAACAGCTATCCAGTAAGCCAAAAATTAATCCATTTTTGTTTTAGAGATTTGGTTTATTTGTTTTCTTAGTCACAAAGATATATGGCTTCACTAATTAATGTCATATTCGCAGGATCTTTTATATATATGATATTTTACATTTATCATGTTTGTCTGTATCCGTATCTCTGCTGTATTTGTTGTTTTGTCCTGTGAGCTGCCCAGAATTGTTTGCTTAAGCTAAGAGGTCATATACATTTCCTAAATAAATATTCAATTACTTTGGCTGTGGTGATTTTTGATATACATAAATGTATATATTTGTTTAAGAAGTTATACAATCCTTCATGAAATGCTTGGATTCATCTCATGAAAGCCTGGAGCTCAGCAAAGTTGTCCCATGGTTCTCCCAAGATCTTTGGGATGTACACACAGATGTCCATTGTGGAATCCCAGCACGATAGATAGTGAATAAAACTGTCATGTCAAACCTTGGATTACCTGTGGCACTTTTACACCTATGTGCATGAATCTTCTTTGATGATAAGTGAAGCATCTTGACAAAGAAGTTACACAGTTCTAAGTTATATTCATACCCACATTAGTTTATACAACAAGAAGGAAGAAAAGTCTTATCACTCACTCTGATTTATTTAGTGCAAGGCTGGTCCAATAAGCTTCAATTGGGGCACTCACCACTGCATCAAATAAGACTTCTTGTATCAGTTCTTTGTCACCTGTAATGTTTCAAAACATTCATGGAAAGCATGTATGGAATCTTCTTATGACACTAAATCTGACCACACCACTTATTGGTAGGAAGTTTACAGGTTTCTTGTTTAAAACTTACTTTCAAAAGAAGGTGGAATTGAAGGACAACTCCCCTATTTATTTTTTAGATAGGGAAGGGTAGCAATATTTTTATCTCTCTTTTGCATATCAAAATTTAATTTCAAATATTCCCTTTTCAATTTCAAAGTTAGTATATAATTTATATTGGTATTATGCTCATTAGGAAGTTCTATACTACTGCACCCTATCCCACCGCCTACTTTAAAAGCCAATGTTTGCATAAACAAATCAGTTATTTATTGTTTGCCTTTTGATTGCAGAACAAGACTAATCATTGTTATTATTTGTATTGTGCATATGAAAGATTTGAAGCTGAGAGTTAAACACTACTTGAACCCACCTATTCAATCTTTGTGGCTGCAGTCATGTATAACTCCACAGTGAACTTAATGATTTAGTTTCATGTGTCACTAGATTTTATAGTGAAGTGTGCCAGGTACGAAGAGGATTGGACTTCTATTACCCTTAATAGTTGACTTGAAGAAGCCAGGTACAGTTTCAAAGGTGTTTTTTCAAAAGGCAACTGGACTTTCTTTGTTTTTTTTCTTGAAGACATTTTGCTTCTCATCCAAGAAGCTTCATCAGTTTTGATTGGTTATGGGGGGATGGAAATGATCCATCCATTCCCTCCCCCCTCCATCATCCAGTCAAAACTGATGAAGCTTTTATTTATTTATTTATTTATTTATGAGACTTATATACTGCTTTAAGTGCAAGCACTCTCTAAGCGGTGTACACCAGTAAGCAATGTATATATATATTTACATTGCCCCCAACAATCTGGGTCCTCATTTTACCTACCCCAGAAGGATGGAAGGCTGAGTCAACCTTGAGCCGGTAAGATTTGAACCGCTGACCTGCTGAACACAGTCAGCTAAAGTGGCCTGCAGTACTGCACTCTAACTGCTGCGCCACCTCGGCTCATTGGGTGAGAAGCAAAACGTCTTCAAGGAAAAACAAAGGAAGTCCAGTTGCCTTTTGAAAAAACATCTTTGAGACAACCATTACCTGGATGACCAAGAATCTCCATACACAAAGGCAGGTACAGCTTAAAGATACAGGAGCTATATTGTTTATCCTGAATGCCTTATTCCAGTAAAAATAAAAATGAATTCTTCTTTAAAAAAGCAAACACAATATATTTATTTGAGGAACTTTCCAGATTCATCTGAATTCAATTGTGATCGGAAATATACTCACAAGGAAGCAATGGCTCTTTCCCTGTGAGATAGTTTTTAATTGCCTTCAGTTGAGTCATTTGGCGGTGTTCTGGATGCAGGTCTGTGTTGCAATATGACCTGAGGACAATATGTGGTTAAAAATAACAGTAACAAATGTTAGTATGCCTGATCTCCTTTTGTCTTTCCATAAGTGGGACTGGGCACACCAAGTACAGACAGAAAGAACATCACAAGCCAATTGCATGCAGATTTACCATTCATCTGCCAAAGAGACATCAGGCTGTTCTAAATCATGTAATCCTGAAAGAAGAATAAATGACAAAGAATCACTCTGAGGCACAAAGCAGCACCAGTTCAATCTTTGAACAATATTCATAGAAGTCAAAAAGTCCTCCTTCTTGAAAAATACAACAAAAAACTCCCTCCCAAATGAATGATGGTATGTCATACTTCTATCACAAATATGACTCAGAAATATGTAGGAAATTCTGGTTCATCTATTTCAGTTTTCCACACCTGTCTTCTTCTCTTTGCTTTTTGTGGCTTTTCCTTCTAATGTCCTCCTATCTTTTATTTACAGATTGAAGCAGCTATTGCCACATAAAATCAGGTGAACAATACAGATTATGCAGGTGTCTTGCAACTGCCTAGTTTCTGTCATTTTGTGTACTTAATGCTCTTCTCTTGCTTAGGATTAACTAAATAGTTAGGGATAAACAATCTGCCCAGTTTGATTTTTTTTCCAGGTTGCTATTTTTCCAGCTTTAAGTTTACCTCATTTTATTCCACCTCAGAATGCAAACTAAAAGAAAGGCAACCCTGATTTGTACTACTGTGTTCATACTGTGAATAATAAGGAAGGATCAGAGATCTGGATGTCTTCCAACAGTTGGAAAACAGCTATTGAGAGCCGGTTCGTTGAAAAAAATTTGTACAATCTGAAGACAAACCAGAACCCTAATAGTAATGGCAGCAGAATCACTTTTGGCAGAGCAACAGTTGTGAATGGGGTTTCTGGGAATTTATAAATGCCACAAAAGCTACCAAGAGTAGAAGATTGCCCTTCCCATGGTCTAATCTAGTTCTCTTTACAAGAAGTGGAAATGGTTTTACTGTATACCAAGAAGCTGTTTTTCTCATCACTTGCTATTGGATTGTCTTTAATTTGAGACACCAGGGGTAAATGAATGATTTTTGCACCCACAGTAGGTACAGATTTCAAAACAGCATGACCACAGGAGAATGAAAGCTTTTCCTCTTGTCTAAGGATAAAAATCCATGCTTCAGTCCTATATTATTAACATCATAGGTTTTTGTCAGCAAGCATTTATGTGCAATTCTAAAACAAAAAGTAACCTAAAATGGACTCCATTAGTAATCTAATGGGAAACCTTTGGGCTGCATGCTAGACTAGGAAGTCAAAGGGGTATTTCAGAAAAAGGCAGCTGAAAACCCTTGTGGTATTATTGCCAAGAAAATACAAATACTCACACTGAAAGCATTTTTACCATTTGCACACAAATATACATTCATGCACACAGATGTCAAATATATTCCAAGTGGTATGTATTAAACCTATTGGGTAATTTGTGTACCTGGGGTTCATTATTATCAGCACAATAACATGGTTTTGAAAATTTGATTGAGTCAATAAAGTATTACCTTCTTCTATTGTCACATTCCCTCTGAAAAAATATTTGCCATGTCCTCTAGACAGAGCCACACCTAAACTGTGCAGATAAACAAAAAGCAGACCATAAAAAATGTGGCATAAACAAAGCTAGAAAATACAGGAAAAGATAATTACTCCCTAAGGTTTTAATTCCTGCTCTAGAAACAATTTTGTTTTGTTTCCAAGACCTTGGTGGTTGTATGTCTTGCCCAACCAGCCACTTTGATGCCATTTTATGTTTGTTGTGCCAGCAGCAACGGACTGTGTATATTTATTAAGGGATGCAATAACCCCTGCTCTCTCTGGCTAGCAAAAATGAACACTCACCAAGGTCAGTTTTGTTCAGCCAAGAGTAGAATCTGCCCATAGGCTTGTAGAGGAGGAGGCCATTTTCTACAAATGAAAATCATCTGTATAGAAAATAATCCTTGCTGATAGTATAAGAGCTAGCAGAGCTGCTGAGAGCAAGGAAATCCAAGAATGTGAAAATCAGAGCTTAACGACACACTTGGCGTAATTTCTTGGTTACATATGTTAACCTTGCTTAATATTTTTGTGATGGAAACAGTGTTGCCTTGAGGCTCTTTCCCATAAAATACTAAGGGTAGCACTATGGAAGGCTGCAATAATTATGCCTTTTTAAAAATGTTTCTTACATTTTTGAAAGTACTGATTTAACTGTAGTGCAGGTGACTAGAAGAGACCAATAGAGTAAAAGCACATTGTTTGCACTTTGGAATCTGATCCAATTTGTGAACTGGATACCAATTTTATATAAGTAATGTTCAGCAAATTCTTCAGTCTGGGGATATGCTGCAAACATTATGCGTGGAATGTACTGCTATCAAACTAAGACAATATGAGAAACTTAAACACTTGACAGAGGAGAACTGACAAAGAAGAAGAGAAAAGAGAAAAAAAATTGTACTGGTGGTTCAACAGTTTTCTGCATTTGGACTCACATCAATTTCTTGTATATCTACCTTGTTGGATGGCAGCCACAAAGCATCGGGAGAATTCATGTTTGAACTGAAAGAAGAACCTTCAGTTTCTATGCAACTGCTTCATACGGAAAGCTTCCAAAATGATAGCTTAGGGAATCTCCTCAGGTAGTAAAAGAGTTTTAGATTTTGGGCTATGTTCTCCTGATGGGCTACTAAGGTCTCCTATGGACTTTGCCTAAACAATGTAGCTGTCATGCCTCCATCCGAGCCTGACTCTGAGGAAGACATGGAGTTCCCTGTTGAGGCCCAGGAGGGGGTGTCTGTGGCTTCGGAGGACTGTGGGGAGGAGCAGGCTGAGGCAGGCCAGGGCCCTTCAGGTTTGGAACAGGGAAGGCAGAGTTCAGGCGAGGAACAAGGCCCCTCCCCAACTGATCCTAGAGCAAGGAGATCAGAGAGGAGGAGGGAACAATGGAGGCAGGCTCACTTGCTCGGGAGAACCGTCCCACTCCACAAGGCACACATGGGGAGTAGGATGTAAAGAGATGCTGTGGGGTGGGGCATTTGCCAGGAACTAATGTGAACTCTTGAGATAGTGTGCTCTTGTAACCTGGACACTTTGTATTCTGGACCAGTTTGCTTCCTGCTGATCTCTCCTTGCAGTCTGCAGTTTGCAGTTCGCAATTCACAGGCAAGCTGGGAGTTAAAAGGATTATACGTTTGCTTGTTATTTGTCTTGCTTTAAGAACAGTGTAAACTTCCCTGGCTGAACTCATGCCAGCATATGTGGGGGCTGTTGGGTGAACATTGGCAGTGATTAAAAGACTATTGCTTTGGCCAGCTGATTGCTTTGCCTCCGTTCGGGGCCCTGGGTCATCACAGTAGTCTTGTCGCCAGTGTAAGTTAGTGTCAATTCTACAACAAAACTGGCTGCAGCCATCTTGCTTGTTCTAGGTTGCCACACGAAAAGGAGGGGGGGGGGATGAAGTATCTTTGTTAGTCTAAACAATATTGTGTCCTGTGGGAACAAAGGTCATTCTCTTTCTTGGGAGAAGAGGGTTGGACATTCTGTTAGAAAGCTTGCCAAACTGCTCTATTGGGTTGTGTAGCTATTGCATAGCACTGGGGTGGGAACTTTTACTTTGTAATAGTGTAACTCTTTGGAGGGAATTTCAGACTTGGTTTCATTTTTGATTATGCCAATATTTTGTATCCAATCAACATGTACTTTGAGGAAGATTCAAGCCTCAGAGTTCTGATTTATTCGGTTCTATCTATCGGAACCATGAGAGTTAATATGGTCCTCTTGGCATCAATCCTACCACCTGACTAATCCCTGATTGGTGCATATGGTTGAGCTCTAATGTCTGGTTGAGCGGTCTTGGGTGCCTGTCAGTGTCACAGCCAGAAATGAACTCCAGCCTGCTCACTAAAGGCAGAATTACACTTAAAAAAAAGAACTGCATATGGACTGTGTCGTGCTTTGGATTTGATTTGTGGTTCAATTACTGGAACAGGCATTCCATGAATATGTAGAACTAAGCTCTATATAAATAAATTCTAATCATTTTATTTGCTAATGCATCTAAGATCACTAAGTGTTGCATCATTGGATCAGTGATACTAGTCTGGATATTGTTTAATTATTTTGTGGATGGGAAACGTTTTAGTGAAACACTGCAGTCATTCTTCCTTATTTGAGTACAAGATGTGTTTATGCTTCATGTAATTGCTTATAACAAATGAGTTACATTTCTGAGTGTGTGCATGACTCTCTGAGCCTGAGTATGTGTGACTGAAGCAAAAGGAACTGCCTATAGATAATGATGCGGACTACAGATTTATAACGAATGTTCCATTGTCCTAGAAGTGTGTATTAGTAACATTATGTTAGCCACAGCTAATCTACAGTGTGCATACAAATGCATTTCATTTAGGCCTGTACAAAAAGCTGTGCACATTTTCATCAATAGCAGTGAAAGTTCAGCTGGAGATTGGAAGCATGTTTCTTAACAGAGCACAGATTGGGGTGCCTTCTGAATGACAGGTCTGGGATACGGCCAGGCGATTTATCTTTCATAAATTTTTCATCTCTGAATAAAACTTGAAAAAGCACACTGGAAAGCTATTTCCCTTGCTCTTTTCAGCATCATTCAGGGACATTTTATTGTCAGCTCTTCTGATGAGCTTTTAATGAGCTCATGAGGCCTGTAGAAATACGATTGCAATAAGCCCGATGAAATATTCCATTTATCGTGAGCTGCTTTACCTGAAAGGGGTCCCCTTGATATCTGTATAATAGTAGTCATTTGTCATCACCAACACTCGCTTCTAGATTCAAGAGAGAAAAAAAGCTTAATATGAAAAGTTCGGCAGGTCTGAATAAAAAAAGCAAACATGTAATCTAGGGCAAGATTAATAATAGCGTAGCAGAGAGACATGCAAATGTTTGAAATCTAACTACATCTAATAAATACAAGTAAACAATTCTGTGTTTAAATTTTGTTGTAAAAGAATTGCCTATTTAAAATACCCCTTTGTCCACTGTTTTCTTCACTTCCATGGAGAATTTTCCTGTTTTCCGATTCACCATTGCATTTCGAAGCTGAAATAGAAAAAAAGGGGGGGAATTATAAAAAGAAATTTAAAGAAAATAATTAAGACAACATCTTGGATATGTGCACACAAATCTTTGTGCACACAAATGGTACTTGCCATCAATAACTTAAATCAAAGCTATCTTTCTCCTGGATCATACTATATATGCAGAGAACAGGCAGGTGATCCCAAGGAGGGGATGCAACTGCTTTAAAGAGCTGTCTGCATTGCTACATTAATACTCTGGTGAGTTCTGAACCATTCCCATCCCACCCACCTCCCTTTAATCTGAATCAGACTACCTGTGCCTTTTGTTAGATCATCATCATCATGTGTAGGCAAAAAAAAAAAAAAAAGCAGTGGGAGTGGGAATGACTTCTTACTTCCTGACAGCTTCCCCTTGAGTTTCCTTGTGAGAAATTGGCAGGAGTATCAGAAATACCCTCTTCTCCCCCTCCCCTCCCCTCCCTTCCCCAGAAGGGTAAGTGGCTGCTGCTGGGTGGGGAGGGAGCAAGGGATTGTGAGACTGGCCGGGAACATTGTGAGACTAGCTGTCATGCAACACTGAAAATGAAGACTTCATGCAACATTGAAAACGAAGACCCACATGACCACAGCAGCAGTCCAGTAAATTCAGCAGCAGCCATTAACACTGAAGCAGCCAACATTTTCCCCAAATTCCATTCTTTCAGGAATCATGGGTCCCAGATTTTGGGCACATTCTATAAGTTAGCCCATCAGTGCCCCAGTTCAAAAACTGTTGCTCTGTGATGCGAATTTTGCCCAATTAAAGATCACGATAACAAGAATTTTAGTAGCATATTGGTAGATTCCTGCATGGTATAATATCTAATTTAGACCAAGTATATGTAGCTGTTGTAAAGAGCCTCTTCTAAGTATGTTGTACTTCAGTTCCATGTTGACTCAAAGGTGAGCTGTCATGAAGCTAAAACTAGATGAATTGGATCACACAGCCTCACAACTTGTTTTTTTGCATTAATTTATCATTTTAAAAAAAAGCATTAAAAATCAAGTTTAAACATGAGTTAAAGTAAGTGTAGTCTGTCTCACAAAAAAGCATTTTAATGTGTTTTCAGAGAGAGACAGGTCCAGTCCAGAGCTCCCACATTAAATCAGAACCAGTGGATCATATCCAATCATATGAAAAAATTGAATCATACTCCTCAAGCACCGCTCCTTGCAGCTTTTATTTCAGTTTAAAAAGTGGACCTGAGATGGCTAGACAAGCATCTTTGGGGAGATGTTTACGTTCAGATTCCTTCATTGAATGGGGTAATTGGACTTTAGTGGCCTTCTAATTCTCTGATTCTCTAATTCTACAGATACTTGATTGGGCCACGTGACATTTCTTTGCTCTTGACAATTTACAGTGATCATTTCCCTGAAGCTGAAAGCTGTTTTTCAAAGCTGAAAAGCAAAGGGGAACAAAGCTTGCTTGTCAGTAAAATAACTGTTTTATGCTTGTGAAAAATCTGAGTATGGCTGACTAAATTAAAGCTGTATTGTTGGCATTTTTTTTTCCATTTTGGGACATCTTGATTTGAGCCCCATTACCTTATTCTACAGTTAACAAGTGTAAAGGGTTTAAAAAATATTTTTGGTTACGGGCTTTATCAAATAAAATATATATTTTACTGGGTTTTTTTAAATATAAAAATGTAATGTGTAATATGCAATTCTGGAAATATTTTCCCTTTTTAACTTTTGTGGTTTTGGACTTGGAGAGCTGGTCTTAATTACCAATCTACTTTCTAATGTTTAAAGAACTATTCCATTTATCTTTAACATGTTTCTCATTTTTCTCCATCTCAGAGCCTGCAGTATTCCACTCCCACACAACCCTCAGGCAAGTCGCAAATTTACAGAAAGGGCCTCCAAAACTCTCGTAGCTTTTAAGATCAAGTATGCATATGGGAATAAGATCTCTCCTTTTTTTACCCCCTGAATATAGTTTTTGGCTTGGGATAATAGTTTTTCATCTGTTCTGTAGACTTTTCTTTTACTACCTCCATGGGGCTTGAATTGGTGTCTAGTGATATGAATGAGGGACTACCCACATTACTGTTGTTGTTATAATAATAAAACTTCCATGTATAAAGCTCTTTAAAAAGATCATTATAACAGAACTATTGAATGACAGTAAATGAAGTTATGCTTCCATTAATCTAATTAAAACAGATGCTAATTAGACAGACAGCTTCATTTGGGGCAGAAATCTTATGCAGCCATTAGTAATTTTGAAAGGATGCTATGGGTCCTCTTGTAAAGGAGCACTCCTGACTCTGATGTTTTCTGCCATGTCAACCTATTTTAATTTTTGATGGCTGCTGGGCACAGTTCCAAAAAAAGTATTGCCTGGAATTTCCATGGGTCCGTGCATGGTCTAGGCAGGGGTCACCAACCTTTTCAACTTTAAGACTTGTGGACTTCAACTGTCAGAATTGATTGGGAATTTCTGGGAGTTGAAGTCCACAGGTCTTAAAGTTTGAAGGTTGGACACCCTTGGTCTAGGGTCAATTGTAAAAAATGAAATTAGAGGCTGCTCTTCTGCTTTGCACCAGATCAGCTTGTTTTGTTTTCTTTTAAATCAGGAGGGTTAGGGGACCTGGAAAGAATCATCTCTGGGCATACCTGAGTATATGGACATCCTGTTGCCTGCTTCTGGATTAATATATGAGAATGTGAGCTAGCATACAAATCTCCAGTCTTTTAGGGCTGGTAGATTTGGAATTTCTCATGTATTGTGAGAATTCTCACAAAATGGCTACCACAGAGTTGCACATTAACAAAATGATGCCAAGGCAATATTGACATTTCCTAAGCAATGATTTAATACAATGCCACTTGGCCTTCTTCTAATCCTTCTCTGTTGGGACATTACAATAATGTGTCCCTGGCACTATTTTAGGGATTCAGGTTCATGCAAGTTATATCCAGGGTCCCTCTAATAAACAATGTATCAGTTAGATTTTGCAGAACAGGTAAGATTATAATGGTATTCCGAATGGCATAGATTTCAAGGACAGAAACCCATTTACTGCAGTGATGGCTTCCTACAGTAATTAACACCATCACTGCCAATTCCTTCCCCAGTTACAAGAATATGCCTTGAAAATCATATAACTGATGGGAAGTTCGCTGACTAATTCTTACAGCAATCTACATCATAACAGTCCAACATCTCAGGATGGCAACATTCCTTCCCATGCCCGTCAGTAGGGCCCACAGGGATGGTAGAAAAGTTGCAGTGGTTCTACCTTACTTGCTGAGTAGAGTGCTTTCCTCCAAGAATAACACTCTATATGCTGCTGGTAAGCAAGTTTGTAGAACAGCCAGTGAAAGAATCAACCTGTACCGAAGTAGCTTGAAGAAAGCAATAAGGCTCAGTTTTATGATATGATGGCATTACATAAAAGTTACATGAGCATCTATCTTGAGATATGACAACAAAATCTCATAATAGGCAGGCAATAAAGTAAAATTAGACTAGACCATCTTCATTTGATATAGATGAAGAAGTTTCCACAGTTATATTGTACCAATTCACTAGACAGCCATTTGATGCCAGTATATATTCAAATGTATCTGCAGCCTAGTTCTGACTGAGGCGATAAAGGTATGTATATCTGGATTAAATCACTTTAAACTTATTAGTGGGTGTTTGGAACATAGGTTATTTCATGCTTTGGCATAAAACTATCCACACATAATGAAATAAAAATATAATATAATAATATAATATAATATAATATAATTTATATATATATATATATATATATATATATATATATATATATATATATACATACATACATACATACATACATACATACATACATACATACATACATATATCCATTCTAGAATTGTAACTTAAAAAGTGTCTATTTTATATATTGTTTGATTTTTTGGGTATGCCTCATCTAGGCTTCCATCTACAAATCAGAAGCAGTGTAGTTAAGAAAACAGAGTTAGCACTTTAATGAGAACTAAGAGTACACCTAGGGAGAGTCTGTTTGATAATATCCAATTTGTTTTACTATTTGTTGTTCCACAATTTGATGCTCCCATGGTGGGTTGGCCTACAGCTATACTGATCCCAGCCAACATATCTAATTTGTCCAGAGGATGCCAGATTGGGAATACTCTTTGTATTTCTCCTGGTTGTTTTAATAACAATGTCCAAGATTTGCCTTGAATTTTCCCAAAGAATTTGTTTTCCAATGTTATTTCTTTGGAAGAAAGAACCTCCAAGCATTACTGAATATAGCTATTCTCATCCAAATACAAATTACAGAATAGTTTTCCTTCAGTAGATTGTTCAATTGCTCCTTTGCTTGTTTCATACTAGTCAATAAGATAAATGTAATGTATCTAGAACAAAGGAAGGACAACTGCAATCATGGAAATGGATTAGAACAATAAGGATATATTTTTATTTTGCAGGAGAGGCATGCTATGATATCTGGTTATTTTGGATAGGTACTTTGGTCACTTCTGTATTGTGACATTTGCCACCACCACCACCACCACCACAAGTAGAGAGTTTGGGAGAAGTCTCTAGTGCAATTGATAGAGACTACTATTGGTGATCCTCCTTTAGAATGAGGCATTGGGTAACTTCCTCTGGAGATCATTTGTCCGAGACAGCATTCTGAAGGACATTTCAACACAGCAAAGTCTGAATCCCAGTCTGACATGCATTCTATTTGCATATATTTATTTAATGTTGTTTCAGTCACCCTAGATTGTCTATCCATCACCTTACTCTGCTAACTAACTCCTCAGATAGTTCCAGTAAGTATAGAGGAGAAGTACACCTTTGTTGAAATATCAGGAAACATTAATGGTTGTGAAAGTTGGACATTTTGACCTGGACAATTTAATTTTCAATTATAATCTTAAAAATAAAAATAAGTCAAAATATTTTAAAAAGTAGAAAATGATATACTCTTAAAGAAGAATATTCAAGTTGAAAATGCAAGAAGCAACATGGAAGGCATTCAAAATTTATGTTTATGAAGTGAGATCATAAGTATCAAAATATATAGGCAGTATGACCTGAGAAGGCACAAAAGATGGGAGAAATTAGTTAACAGTAAAGATAGACATTGCTTAGGTTATTATAATTCATAAATAATATTGTAATTTAAACACTGAGTAAGATAGGTTGACAAGGCAGCAATGTACACACACACACACACACACACACACACACACACACACACACACACACGAGAAGGCGGCAGACAGAAACTTGAGTCAGAGAAAAGTGATCAAGAAATGTCTACATTTGAATACTGACAATACTCCAGAGGCAGAGATACGTGATGAATCCCAGATTTCAGAAAGATGTGACAGTGTAAATATGGGAAACTTCTGTTGATATATTCAAAACCTCTCAGAAATGATTGGAGTTTGGAAGGATATAGGAACTGTTAATGTACTGCTGATATATGAGAAGAGTGCAAGGAAAGATTTGTGAAAAGGCAGACAGGCAAGCATGACTTTAGTTGGTACAGACATTATGGGAAAAGCTAAATAACAGAAACCAAAAGGAGAACACCTGGAAAGTTACGATTTAATTAAGGACAGTCAGCATGGATTCGCACAAAGTGAAACATGCCCCAAATATCAGATTTATGGAGGAAGTAACAGAAAAAAACAGACAAAGGTTAAGTCATGGACATAAGGAAAACTTTTGATACAGTACAGCAGAAAATTGACATGTCAATACAGAATGGCATTGAAGGGAACTGCAAAATGATCAGAAAGAAGCAATGTGCAGTTTGATTAGGACAAAAAGAATAAGACTGCAAAGGTTAACAGATAAGACATTTGATAGACAACGTGAACATAGTGAATGTCACCTGGATATAGAACTAAATGCATTTCATCTTATAAATAGTAGCAAGCTTCTTGTATTTCAGACAATAGCATAAGAGAAATAGAACTGCCTTGGCAAAATGTGGCACAGATTTTTGTGGCTGTGCTGCTGTTATTTGATCTAACATCCGAATGTTACTAAAGAGACCAAAGCAAATGAGTTTTGGAATCCATATGGCTTTTAAAACTTTTTGCTTCCTACTCATCTCAGCTACATTCGTCTAACCATGGCAGGAGTACCCTCATTTTGGAAGAACCATGTTCCTCCCTTAGAACTGGCCTAGACAATTCAGTTTAAATAGGAGAAGGTTCTCTGTTTAAAGAAGGTGTGGGATTCAAGAGGCTGCTATTTCTTATTAGGACTGCTGATCCTCTGGAATGCCTCCCATTAGGGCTCACCTCAGTTCTGACCTCGATGATCTTCTGAAAACAGCTGGAAGATGGAAATCTTCCAGGGAACATCTGAGGACTGTCACTTCGATTTAAATTTTTGATATGTTTAAAAAAAAATGGTAGGTTTTTATTGTTTGGTATAGTGAATATTTTAATGGTTTGCATTTTCTATAAAGCCACCAAGAATCCTGTAGGGATTGCAGTGAGGTATAAATCTAATAAATAAATAAATAAATAAATAAGATTTGGACTGGGTTTTTTTGTTATTATTTTTAGGCTGTTAGGATTTTTTTCATTTTTATTGTACTCTTAGGTGTTTTAATGGTTGGTTGATTCTAAAAAGCTTCTTAAATTCCTGTGGGATTGCAGCAGACAATGATGTAGTCAGCCATGCAGTTAACATTTTATTATATTCATTCATTCATTCATTCATTCATTCATTCATTCATTCATTCATTCAATATTTTCTACAGCTGCCCATCTCAACAAGTGACTCAGGGCAGTGTATATTATAAAAACAATAATCTGTCCCACATTTACTTTAGAACATCCATTCCTTTTTTCCATGCTGCAAAACAAGCTTAGTTATATCTACAATGCTTTAGTAATGTTTTTTCAAAAGGGTTCTGGGCATATATGAGATGTACCATTGTTTCTATGGGATCAATGCTTGGGATTTTTTTCTCAGTTTGCAGATATTCATGGCCACTCTTTCATCCCTTTGGAACTCCTGAGGTCTCCTTCCCCAATGGGCCCTGAACAGTAACTCTCCACAGGCCATTCAAGCCTAGTGCACTCCTTGAGTTGACTGGGACTACACTAATCTAGTAAGAATCTGCTTCCTACGCTTGGGCTACTTCCATCCTAGGACTGAAAGCCAGGACTGAAAATAGGGAGAAAGAAGTCATTTTCCACTCATGACAGTAGAAATTCAACTTTAAATGGTGGAAATACTTCTTCCCATTGGTTTCATGTCATAGGATGAAGTTACATTATGCAAATGAGAATCACCAACTTGGGGAACTTGAAAAGACATCAGATAAACTTAAAACGTGTGAGGCTGTGAAGCATTCCATATGCCTCCACGATCAAAGGCATTGCCCCTTTGATCAATACCTCTAGGAAAGTACTGTTTTGTATACGTTCTGTTCACAAAAGGTTGACTTGAGGATAATGAATGATGTAAGAGGATTCTTATAGCATATATTGAGAAAAGAAAGTAAATGAGAAAAAAGATATTTTATTTATCTACATTCTTAGTGATTTACTGATTTTACTAGCAGAGTAGAGATTTAAAAACAAGTGAGGATGCACAATAGCCCTGAACACTCATGAATTATATTGATACACAAATGCTCTGTTACACTCTCTTCCGTCAATTGCATTAGAGATCTTTTTTTTCTCTTAATGTTCCAGTTCATGTTGATAGAGTTATGTAGGAATGAAATGAAGGGAGACCCTTCCCTCTTCAGCTGCCTTGAACTACCAGAGGAAGATGAGCTGGTAAATGCAACAAATAAAGTTATAACAACACACTCACACTTATATAGGTGCACAAACACAAATTAAAAACACAACTGAAGCATCGTGGAAACACCCATTGTGTTAATCAATTATAACTGAAATATATTTGTTGGGAAAGGGCTAACACAAAATGAGATAAAGATAAAATTTACCCATTTTTTTTAAAGAGACTTATCATTTTCCTTTCTTCTCTTTCTGCTGCTCAGTCAAGTTGGTATGAGTGCAACTGACTTTTCTGTCAAGCAGTTACTGAACAATCACTTACCACATCATCTCTGTCTTCCCATTCAACCTCAGAGAGGTCAACACTGCTGTAATTGGGCTTTCTTCGCTTTTTCCCTTCTTCATACTAGGGTCATTAAAAAGAAAGAAAGAAAGAAAGAAAGAAAGAAAGAAAGAAAGAAAGAAAGAAAGAAAGAAAGAAAGAAAGAAAGAAAGAAAGAAAGAAAGAGATGAGATCCTGGGTGAAAAAAAACCCTGGCACTTTTATTTTTCTAGTAAATCGATATAAGCATCTTCAACTTTCTCTCACTATTGTGTTCAATTTTGCATAAATGAATAAAACACTGTTCTTTTGGAGTATATCAAGATGCTTTTTTGCAACAATCTTCTAGAGTCTGGAGCTCTCTTCCATGCTGGACTACAAAACCATCTCATCCAGCCAGCATTAGCGTGGTAGTTAGAGACACCACATTTCAAAGGTACCCTGTTATGTTGCTATGTATTATATTTTATTGGCAAATACATCCTTGCAACAGTACAAACACAGAATAAAAAGATAGTGATTACTATTTATTTTCTTACAAAACTCTTGTGCCATACACTTTAGAAATAAAAGTCACAGCTACATTCTGCTGCAGACCACTTCATACTACAGCACATGGAAAATACACACGACCTCTAGTCATATTTGCAAAATTTTAAAAAAAGACATCTTGAACTTTCTTTTCCAGACCTGCAGGAAGTTATATTTCCTGCAATGTTATCAACAACTGTTTATATATTTCTATTTAAACAAGATAAGAGACTACTCCTGGGAAGTTTGGTGTTAGTATCTGCATGATATTACATTTTATCTGTTCTTTCATGGAGAAAAATGCAAGAAACACAGTAATAAGTAAATGTAACAATAAACACTGGTATTGTTATACTGTAAATCTCACTTTTTTAAAAATAAACATCACAGTTACAAATGAGTTGACATTGGTGTTTTCATAATGTAGAAAAATCCTGCCCCCTGCTGCATCCAACAGCAAAGAGATCTTGCTAAAAATAACTACCGTAACTTTCCAATGTGTAGGCTAAGTCTGATGTCTACAGTGGAATTTGCTAGCTTTCCAAGAAAATAAACCAAAGGCTGTATTTTAAAGATTGGTATTAAATATTGAAATTAACACTGTTCAAAAGCCATTTTGAATCCATTACTTGCAATTAGGCTTCAAAAGTTGCAATGCACAAAATATTGATACTTATTATGTTTCTGAAGGACCTAAATTCTTCAATGATGCTCCTGCCATCAGTCAAGAGCAGTTGGATTTCGCCATCCCCTATCCCTTGTTTAACAAGAAGGCATGGTGAGCTTGCATTCAACTGGTGCCCGGGCACAGTGTCATCATGGATGTTTAAGGACTAATTATATGCCTACTGCCATAATTGAGTCATACAGCTAGTTGAACAAGGAAGTAATGGCTCAGAAGGGTTAACGAGGTGGGGCTGGAGGCTGAGAAAGAGGAAATTTAGGAGCAGCGCATTGAGTGTATCCATCATGGCTCCTCACCAGGATAGGAGACAGGGATAGCTAAATGGAATGTTGTGGGAAGAGAGAAGGGACAGAGAGGCAATGAAGGAGTGCTGCGGGCACAACATAATCAGCAGTGGGTTAGAGTCTGAGTAAGGGGCTGATTTCATTTTAGCTATCTTTCATACAGACATTCTGAGGGTCAAGAAGGCCAAATAGCAGTTTTCTGTCAGACTTAAAATTTTTCTGAGCCCAGTCGTTGGATCCCCTTGGGATTACCATATTACACCTCTGTTCCACAAACTTCACTGGATTCCAGTCTCTTTCTGAGCACAGTTCAAAGTATTGTGATATTTAAAGCCCTTAATGGCATGAGTCCATGCTAACTGATGAAGTGCTTCATCCAGCCAGGACAGGGGTGTCAAACTCAATTTCATTGAGGGACGCATCAGCATTGTGGTTGCCCTCGGGGGGCTGGGTGGGTGCGGCCTACTGGGTGGGCATGGATGGAGTGGGTGTGGCCTACTGGGTGGGCATGGCAAGCTCTACATCATTTGCGTCAAGTGTGCCTGTGGGGGCCTGGGCAGGAGTGGGACAGATCTGAGGGTCTCTGGCAGAAAGGGGTGGGACCAGGGCAGAGCCCATCAAGCCGGATACATGAAGTAGGTGAGGGCCATTTGCTGGCCACTTCCAGGCAATGGTGCATTTCTTCATTCCTCATAAAGGGTGACACCTCCCCAGAATGCACCCAGGGGGTAGGGTCGATGCGGCAAGGGCTGGTTCCTCACTGTTTCCAAACGGCCTTGTGGAGCTAAGACTGAATGCCTTTCAGCATAGATGGCTACCACAAAATTGTACATTGGCTCCCGGCTGGCCTGGGCCAGGGCCAAGGCAGCAGGGGCCATTCTCTCACTGTTTCCAGGATGGCTTCGTGGGCCACATACAACCACTTCGTGGGTCGCATCCAGCCCCCGGGCTTTATGTTTGACATGTCTGCACTAGGACATGCCTATCCTATTTGTGCTGGTATAGATGACCCATTTTGAATCAGTCAAAGAACTCTATCGGGATCCAGAAGAGGAGCCTTTTCTGCCCCAGCGCCCTTTGGAACAACTTACCCTTTAAAGGTAAAATCCGTCACTACCTTCCTATCCTTCTGCAAGAGCTCAAAGACCTGGCTCTGTTGGTTGGCCTGGGGACCAGAAGGGGGAACTTGGTGATGGAGGTGACTGTTGGATTGATGGCAGATTCCACATCCCCTCCTTGCTCTCTGCCCTCCACCCATCATCTTTTTGTTTCTATATTGATGTATTCTCATATTTTATTTTATTTTTCTATTATTTTACTTCTGTTTACACTCTTTTCATTTCTTCCTTTTTATTGTAAGCTGCCTAGAATAGGCCCATAGCAAGATAAGTGGCTTATAAATTTAACAAATAAATAAATGCATTTACTTTTATACTTCTGAAGAGTGCCAGATTACATATGCATGGACAAATATATATTTGATACCCAATCCTCATTATATACAATATTCTGGATCCAATAAACATATTTATATCCATTAGCTTTTGAAATGGAGGACAATCTTCACAGAAAGCTAAAAAGGGTTTTGAGGGATTTATTCTAAAATTGAGTAATATAGCATGAACATATTATTAGTTTTTATTACCTCACTGCCCCACTTTCTAATTCTATTTTTCTTTCTCCTTTTCACACATTAGTCCACTTTTGCTGGATGAAATCAGAACAGAACTATTCTTTTTGTTTGATGTCTGTTGTATTCTGATAAAAAAAATGAACATGACAAAAGAAAAATATCCCCCACCCCAAAATCTCTTTAATTTTCAGCATTACACTTCCTGAGCATAACATTGTGATTTGTTCTGGATTTGCAATTTGTCTGCCTGCAATATGGATTGGTAAGGATCAAAGTGATGCTACTGGAAGATGTGAGATTCAGAGGTTGCAGAAACATAAGACATGCATTCTTACCCTGTCAAGAGTGGCATAACATTGTTCCCAACAATGAAAAGCCTAGCTAGTATTGAGTCAATTTTTCTCCTTTTTAATTCAATCTCTTCAGGAAGTCTAGTGGCAATGGAAACATGGAGAAAACTGAAATGGTTAAGGTGTGGTCATTCTCAGTGGGGAACCTGGAGAGAGGGGAATTTGCCAACTTCACAGTAATTGCTAGGATGTGTATACATCTATCCTCATTCCTTCTCTTTGGTCTTTTTTTTTTTTAGCTTTCAAAAAAAGCTCTGGTGTGCTTACTGTCAGCATCATTAGGGATCTCCTTGTAGCTTGATCAGGCAATGATATAATATTGGTCATGTGACTTTGAAATATTGCATGGTTAGCTAACCATTTCCAGAAAATGCTGCAAGTTTGTGCATACTTTTACCAAAATTAAAGCAAGAAGATGAGTGGACAAGTCAAATAGATATTCTTCCCTTGGCCATTCTCCTACCTTGTTCCTTGTCCTATGTGAACCTTGCAAATGTTAAGTTCTTTTTTTTCCCCATGTAAATGAGAAAAAAATAAAATCTGTATCCTTTTGTGAGCATAAGAATGTATCAAAACATAGTTATTCCATCAACAACTGTCTTTGATATAGTCCAAATCAACTAAAGTATGGCAGGTACTTTGATTTTTTCCTTTACCAGTTCTAGTCCTGACATACAAAAGCTGAAAACCTTTCAAAAATAAGGACTATACGCTGTCAGCTTCTCACCTGTCAGCTTCTCACCAAGTTGCTCCACTTACTAGAGGGAAGCTGCCATGATCTGAATCCAATGAGCAGCTATGTACTGGCAGTCAATGCCATCTAGCATGAGGTGGTTCTACTGATGTTCCCTCAACCTCTAGAGCCAAAAGAAATATCTTTTCCCAACTCCTTCCTTTCATCGAGGTTAGAGGAACATTATTTACAATTCTTGTTAGAATGCAAAACCTGCCAACCTCTGCTCTCATTATTTACATCTATGCCCAGAGCTTACAATATCGCACCATAAATTCTGGAAATAGCATGACACAGCTTTGCGGGGGAGTCTGTCTGATCATTTTTATCCCAGTCAACTTTGAAATGCATTTTTTGCGTTCCTCAGTGACAACCATGACAATCCTTACTGAATCACCTGAAATCTGTTCGTTGTAATAGGGTGTCAGACTAAACCCAGGTTCATAGCTCCATTCAATCAGAGACTTGTTTTATAGTAGCCTATTTAGCCAAAGTGGAGGTAAAAGAGATAAAAGAGAGAATTGTATACTAAGCCAAATTTATGAAGGAAAAATGAAATATAATGCAATATATAATAAAATAATACTTCAAATAATTTTAATTGTTTACTAATTATATTTTTCTTCTTATTTATTTTAATTATTTCTGCTTTAAATTTACATCTGGTTTAATATCTCAGTGATTTGTTCACGCAGTGTACATTGTAAAACACTTGTCATGCAACACACATTGTAAATCAAATATATTAAAATAATGCAAACGATATGCAAAATACTAGAGAAGTCAGTAAAAAGAATTTCTTGTAGGAGAGGCATATTTTTGATTGAAGATTTAAAAAATGCCAGAATGTAGCAGTAACACAGTGGAA